TAAATAAATAAATAAAAATTAGAGCTCAAAATGCAATAAAAATTAGATTTTTATAGTTCTCAGGATAGAAATGTTTTGGAACATAAATGAAGACATAAAATATACCACTTATTTAATCTCATAGGTATAAAACTAAGCAAGTAATTTTTTATTGTTTGGTTTTTTTGTTTTATTTTGTTTTGGGGTGCTGGATATCGAACTCAGGACCTTGTGCTTGCGAGGCAGGGGGTGGCACCACTGAGCTAAATCCCTGGTATAATTTTTTAACTGTATTAATTTTTTGACTCAAGCAAGTAAGATTCAAAATAGAAACCAAAAAAGATTAAAATACATAATCAATAATACATAGAAAAAATATGATTAATAATGGAAAGATCTAAATCATATTCTATAGTTTCAACACTCCCTTCCCCACCAAAGTCTCCCAAAGCTTTAGGCAAATAGCTAAATTGACTAATTTGAATTTTACTCTCCTCTAATTGTTCTCAAATTATATTTATTCTACACAAGATCTGCTACAGTACAAATGTAGAATATGTAACTTCCAAAATTTTGTGCTTAATGTTCATTAAGTACCTACCACAGTATGTGGCATAAAGCAAACACAATAAATGGTAATATAATTATTTAATATTAATAGCATCTTTCATGTGCACAGCATCACTTTACAATAACTTCTTTGTGAGGTTTTTTGTTGTTGTTTTTTGGTTTTTGGTTTTTTTGGTACTGGGGATTGAACTTGGGCCCCGGCCCACAATAACTTCTTAAACTATAACTATTCTTCAGAGTTTATGAAATTAATACTGGTTTCCAATACTCTTAGATGTTGGTACAGAAAAAGTATAACAATTCATCCAACAAATTTATTATCTCTGACAGTGGAAATAAAGGATGTCTCTATAGCAATTGTGTGTATGTGTACTCTGCTTAAGTTCAGCTCAAAAACTTAAGGCCTGTAACATACATAATCCTCTATTCCACTAATTTAACTAAATTATTTTGAAATTTTTAACTTCTACACAAATATGCAATTTCCAATGTATCCTTAACTACTTCCTTTCAGCTTTTGAGATACGTTTTTTTTTTGGTACTGGGGATCGAATTCTGGTCCTTCCCCTTTCGAGGCAGGCGGCAGAACCACTGAGCTACAGCCCCGGCTCAACTTTCTATTAATACAACTAAAAGTGTATTCCATTATTCTGGAATTTAATTAAAAGTCTGTTACTTGTCTGTATCTATGATTAAATATAAAGACTTTTCCTCAGGGCCGGGGATTTGGCTTAGTGGTTCTGCCTCCTGCCTCACAAGCACAAGGACCAAAGTTCGATCCCTGGTACCAAAAAAAAAAAAAAAATTAAGAAAAAATAAAGACTTTTCTAGTCAATACACAAAGGACTCCTAGAATCAATGATAAAAAATGTTATTTTTTTAAACCTACTTTGTATATGTAATAGATATAAACAGAATACTGTATACACTAAGTGGATGAGATTTATACTTCACAAGATAATCATAGAAGATAATTAGCAAGACATGTGATAGCAAAGAAGTCTCATTTCCTAAATATCCACCATAAGTACTACTGATTTTCCAAGACTTCATCAAGGAGACAAAATGTAATGGGTATTTTTTAGAATGCAATTATGACAATAGCCGTCTATAGGAACCTGAAAAAAAGATGAGGGAAAGACTCATTTTGCTTTGTTCCCAGAAAAAGTACTAACTGTTTCATTTCGGTATGCAGGTCCCTTGAAAAGTATCATAGAGAAGAGGAGTAATTCTTAAGCATCACCATAACTGATGATGAAATATCATCCAATACTTTCCAAATTCCTTGTCTTTGTCTCTAATTACCAGGCAAGCTCTTGTTATTAACTTCCTAAATAAATTCTTCGCTACAGGAAAGATACACTGAATTTTCAACCTGAAAATTCTGTTCACTGGAAAGGATTATCTTCTATTGCAATATAAACGGACATTTTAATGTGTGCATTCTAATGTGTTTATCACTCTCGTTTCCTTTCCACTGGACTGGGTACTGAAGTCTGAGCATACAAGAGTAAAGGTACACATCTGAACTTCTTAGGTGAAGCAAGTGGACCTTTCTCACTGACAACTGCTGTAATCCCCAGGCCTCACCATGGTCCTAAAAATGGAAAAAGGGGGGTTTTAGCATTTGTTTGGCATACTGAAATAGGCTAGCTAAGCCAATTTAGGCAGATTTATTTATACATCAAAGTGAATAACGAAGTTAACAACGCAGAATTTAAAACAAAACTTAACACGCAGATTTACACACCCTCATCTACGCTAATACTCTCCCCTATACTATTCAAACTGTGATGTCACACAAAATTTTTCAACTTGTATCAGCCAGAAACATTATAAAATGGGTTTGGCATATATGATTCAAGTACTTCAAGATTTAAAAAAGTATTTGAGAGGCATCCTACCTGGTACGGAAGGGGACAGGAATATTCTGATTTGAAGTGGACAATACTGGGATTTCAAATTATAACTCAGACTTTTCTCACTGAGTCATTCAAACGTAACTGTATTATTCTTTTTTTTTTTTTAATCACTCCAGCCTCACACAAGGTACTCTAGCTCTTCCATTAAATCTGCTTACCTTTTATTTATGAGAAAGAATGCCCACTAAATTCTCAGTTCGCCTAAAAGAAAGAAGTATCTATCAACCCTGCAGAATCCTCTCGGGGTCGAGAAGCCAAGAATTCCCACCGCAACAGATTGTCTTTGCAGTCTTTGTTTCCAGGAGACTGAAAGGGTGCAGAGAGGCTGGGGCGGCGGAGGGAGGGCTGAGGGAGTCCCACAGCGGAACTGCATGACAAGGGGAGACTGAGATCGTCTGGAGCAAGGCGGGTAACAACAGACCAAACAGACATCTCCAGGTCACGTGCACTGTCAAGAGTATTTACAGTGATGCGGTAAGAAGTGACAGAACACCGTGAACCCTTCACAGGCAGAGGGTTAAGGGAAGAACGAGGAGGGGAGAAGGCGAAAGAAGGCGAGGTAAATAAGTTCCCAAAGGTCCAGGAATTTAAAAAATGAGGAAAAACAAAAAAAGTACCCAGTCTGTGTCTATGAGCTTGGCCTAGGTCGGGATCGCCAGTACCGATAAGCGGACTGCACCAGGAAAAGATCGCACATGCTCAGGGTTGAGGAGAATAACGCGTTTAATGCGGTAACCAGCGGTGCAGAAGATGTCGCCTCCCTCCCTGCCTATTCCCGTCCATTCCTTTCACTCTAGCTCCAGGGGCGGTCGGGCAAAACCCTGCCAAAGCCTGAGCCGCCGGAGGACAGCAAAAGGGAAATACCTGAGTCCCAAGAATCGCACCTGCAGCGCCAGCAGGAGGAGCGGTGCACAACTGGAGCCCGGGTAGGATTCTCACTTGCTCTGGTCAAACCTCAACTCTTACGGGCGGGGCGGGGAGCTTCCGCCCACAGCGTGAGGAGCATCACTTCCGTCGAATGTCGGTCTTCGCCCCTCCTCTCCTCCGCTCTAGTACGTGCCAACGTTCAGACTCCCTCTTCCAGGAGCCTCCTGGCCAGTTTTAACCCCTGACGTGGACTACAAGACCCAGCATTTGTTTCGGCAGCGAATTTCCGGGTCAAGAAGTCTGAGCTAGGTGCATCACCATGGATGCGATCGGTTTGGTCATGTGGTGCCCCTGGTTACGCCCGGTGGCCGCTGTGGGGTCTGGGGCTTAGACAGGGGCCATTTTGCCCGAGGCTGCCTCTCGGAGTCGGAGGCGACCGCGCAGCTGACTGGAGCTCTTTCTTTGCTTCCTCCGCATCTGGGGGCTTGGAGGGGATCTGGAAGGCTAGGCTTCATCTAACCCTTCGGAGACGGCAATGGTTCCCTCCAGGAACCTGACGACCCTCCATGGCGGCTGCGCCGTCTGCGCTGCTCCCGCTGCCGCCCCTTTTAGCCCTCTGTGCCTATCGCCCCCAGAGCCACAGTCGCCCTTCCGCCCCAGAGACTGATGTTCGTCGAGTTGGGGGCATCATGAGAGGAGAGAAAAACTCCTACTGCCGTGGAGTTGCTGGGGACCGCGGTTCTTGCCCCTCTACGCCTTCGCCTCTGGCTTCAACCCTCTTATTGCCCGCGGAGGCAGTCTCACGTAGCTGGTCTGGGCCTGCAGGAGGTTTGTCGGGAGGAGATGAAGAGGAGACCAGGCTCCTTCAGCTCTTGCGCACCGCACCGGATCCTTCCGAGGCCTTCCAGGCTTTGCAGGCTGCTTTGCCGCGGCGGGGCGGTCGACTTGGCTTCCCCCGACGCAAAGAAGCTTTGTATCGGGCCCTGGGCCGAGTGCTTGTGGAAGGAGGTAGTGATGAGAAGCGACTATGCTTGCAACTTGTCTTGGACGTTCTCCGGGGTCAGGGGGAGGCAGGCCATCTGGAAGAGGCCTTTAGTTTGGGACTTCTGCCTCAACTAGTTGTCTCCTTACGCGAAGACGATCCAGCCCTGCGGAAAGATGCGCTTCAGATCCTGCATATATGTCTGAAACGTAGTTCTGGAGAGGTGCTGAGAGCGCTTATTCAGCAAGGTCTGGAAAGTACCGATGCCCAGCTTAGAGCTTCCACTGCACTGCTGCTCCCTATCTTACTTACTCCTGAGGACTTGTTGCTCGGCCTGGATCTCACCGAAGTGATAATAGCTCTAGCTAGAAAGCTTGGTGACCAGGAGATAGAAGAAGAATCAGAGACGGCTTTCTCGGCACTTCAGCAAATTGGGGAGCGACTGGGCCAAGAGAGGTTTCACTCCTATATCTCTTGCCTGCCATCAGCCCTGAGGAGACTCTACAATCGCCGCCTGGAGTCCCAATTTGGAAGTCAGGTTCCTTATTATTTGGAACTCGAAGCCTCTGGATTTCCTGAAGATCCTGTCCCCTGTGCTGTGGCTCTTTCCAATAGCAATCTTAAATTTGGGATTATTCCTCAGGAACTACATTCAAGATTACTGGATCAGGAAGACTACAAGAACCGGACTCGAGCCGTTGAAGAACTAAAACAGGTGCTGGGAAAATTTAACCCTAGTTCTACCACTCATTCCAATCTTGTTGGTTTCATTAGCTTGTTGTATAATTTGTTGGACGATTCTAATTTCAAAGTGGTCCATGGTGCACTTCAGGTTCTGCATTTACTGGTTATCCGCCTTGGGGAACAGGTGCAACAGTTCTTGGGACCAGTTATAACAGCGTCTGTCAAAGTACTGGCAGACAACAAGTTAGTAATCAAACAGGAATACATGAAAATCTTTCTTAAACTAATGAAAGAAGTAGGTCCTCAACAGGTGCTTTGTTTACTCCTGGAACATCTCAAACATAAGCATTCCAGAGTAAGAGAGGAGGTGGTGAACATTTGCATCTGCTCCCTTCTGACCTATCCCAGTGAGGATTTTGATTTACCCAAACTGTCTTTTGATCTTGCCCCAGCTCTTGTAGATACCAAACGCAGGGTACGCCAAGCAGCTCTAGAAGCCTTTGCTGTGTTGGCATCATCGATGGGCTCAGGTAAAACCAACATCCTTTTTAAAGCTGTAGATACTATTGAAATGCAAGATAATGGAGATGGAGTGATGAATGCTGTGCAGGCTAGATTGGCTCGAAAAACCCTACCAAGGCTAACAGAAAAAGGATTTGTGGAATATGCAATACTCATGCCATCTTCAGCCCAGGGCAGACCAAGCCATTTGGCACATGGGGCAGATACAGACTGGCTTTTGGCTGGTAACAGAAATCAGAGTGCACACTGTCACTGTGGTGACCCCATGAGGGATAGCATGCAAACGTATGGATCTTACAGTCCAACTATCTGCACCCGGAGGGTACTAAGTGCAGGAAAAGGGAAAAACAAATTACCATGGGAAAATGAGCAGCCTGGAGTCATGGAAGAAAACCCAACCTCCAATTCCAAGGATATAGAGCAGGTATGCATCTTCTCTAATTTTCTTGAGTTGAAACAGAAGAATTTTAAAGAGTGAGGCTGCTTTAGGGTTGTCAGGCTTTGTTTTAATTTAAATGATGATATACCCACAGTAGTAAAGGTCACATAAGACCATTTAATGGGCTTCTGTACTTGATTGATTGGATTTCATTTCAGGCACAATGTGATATGGATAATACTTGGATTTCAATTTTGGTGCACCATTTGGGGATGTCAGACATACAACAAACACTGAATAGCTAGTAGGTGCCAGATAAAGAACTAAGCTCTAAGATTGAAGATGAAAGCAGTTCCACACAGTTTAAGTAAAAGATCAGACTTATAAATTGGCAGTTAACAAATATCTAAAGTGCTAAAATAGAAATATAAACAGAGTAGTGTGAGGATACTGAAGATAGAAAAAATAATTCTACTAGAAAAGTCAAAAGTGCCTTCAGAGAAGATGTGACACTTGAACTGAGATTCTCCCCAAACTTTTATTGTAAAAATTCCAATCTACGGGTGCAATGAGTACCCATATACTTCCATCTGTATTTACCAGTTGTTAACATCTTACTGAACTATTTGAAATTTACATACGTTTTGATACTTCTAAATATGGTGGCATATGTCTCTTAAAAATTACCTTCTCCTTAGGACCATCATATTATCATGCTTCAGAGTTTGAATAGTAATTTAGTAATATCTAATAGGTAGTTGTATTTACATTTCCCTATTTGTCCTCAAAGTGTGCTTTATGATTTTATTTTACTTTTATCATCCAGGATGTGGTCATGGTTCATTTGTTTAATATGTGTTTTTTTTTTTTAATCTACTGTGTGTCTGTACCTGTTTGTGCTTCTTTAGTTTTTCATGACTTTGACTTTTTTTCCCAAGAGTCTGGGGTAGTTGTTTTGTATTATGTCTCACATTTAAAATTTATCTGATTATTTCCTGTGAGATTCAAGATGAGCATTTTTTGATGAGAAATGGAAAAAATGGAAATAAAGTCTTTGTAAATAGGGAAGGGTGGAGGGGGTGAAGGGAGGGCTAGGAATGGGGAAAAAACAAGAACCA